TGCCTGCTGACAAAGTCCAGGAGGCTGAAGACCCCGGGTCGCAAAGCGAACCTGGGCAGCTGAGACCCTTGCTTCTTCTACTTTTGTTATTAGTGCAGCCAAAAAGTTCTGTACAGTCTGAGGATGGAAAGCAAAATTCCACTCACGCCTCCACTACCCCTTGTAAAAAGGCAAGAGGGGAATTCATGAAAAATTACCTTCCCTTCATTTGAATTCCTCCCTAGGTTTCCATGTCCCCAGCCTCCTGGTATTAGACCATGCAATCACTTGATTAAACATTGTAGTTGGGAAAATTGTAAAAAATCAGAAGGTGCTCGATTTAATGTTTGTTAGGGAACTCACTAGCCTTGACAGGAAATTATCAATAGAGATTTTAAATATCATGTGCAGGTAGATAATCATTTGTAAGATTTTATTCCTTCTGATTAGCGACTAATTGTAGAAATTTGAGAAGCTACAGTTCGTATTTTTAGGAAGAGTGTCAATGCAAAAATTACATTTTCTTAATGTGGTGTATTATGCTTAAAAAATTAACAATCACATAAATATTAGAGCACCCTTGCCTTTACTTCCCTTTGTTAAGGAGGCTTGTAATTCTGGTTAGGGATTGTGACTAAGATGACTTGAGCCCAAGAGGCCTTTTGTTTCACAAACATTGAAGCCCATTTTCCCTAACAGGGGATAATTGATGCAGATTGTAAACACCAGGTGTATAATTAGGGAAAACTAGTCAGGCCAACTTGTGGCTAAGCAACCTTGAAAATGTTGTTTTACCCCAGCTAGTTGCAAATTGCTGTGTGAAGATCACAGGTGGGACTTGCTAATTATGTAACAATTATAGTGCTTAGAACTTTTGGTAGTGATTTACAATGTAATAGTTATAGGAATAAGTAAGTTTTATATCATTAAGAAATGATAATCATTAGAAAATGTTAGAAGTTTATAAAATGTATAGTTAATGTTTAGGATGATAATCTTTTAAGATCAAAACAGCATGAACAAAGATACATTGCCTGTTCGGTTCATTATATTGAAACTGATTGTGCCTTGAAAACAAAAAACATGTAGGGTATAAAAGGAGTTGGAAAAGACAATAATCTGCATTTGTCCTGCTTACAGCAGAGTCAGTGTCCAAGTTTTCTCTCCTGCGCCGATGTCATCCCTCCTTCAGGAAACCCTACCCACTGGAGCTGGACTCTGGCAGCCAGGCACAGTGGTTCACACCTATAATCCTAGCACTTTGGGAGGCCATGGCAAGAGGATTGCCTGACCCAGGGGTTCTAGATCAGCCTGGGCAACTTGACGAGACCTTGTCTCCAAAATAAATCAAGAAATTAGCTGGACGTGGTGGCATGCGCCTGTGGTTCCAGCTACTCAGAAGACTGAGGTGAAAGAATCGCCTGAGGCCAGCATGTCGAGGCTGCTGTGGCTGTGAGTTTGCCACTGCATTCCAGTCTGGGTGGCAGAGTGAGACTCTAACTCAAAGTAAAAAGAAAGAAAGAAATAGCCCTCACTGGTCAACATTAGGCAATGCTAGGGAATAAACTTATTTTTCTGAAAACAAGTACATATAAAGGGAATGAAGCAAATATTTATTCTGCTTTTCTTGAACAAACTAGACTTCAGTACAAATAGTTGAAATTTTCCAGCGAATAAATACAGCACCTGATGAAAAAGTGGTTGTAAATAATAATCATCAATGGCTGCTAAAATCATTAGATGAAAGATTAATGAAAAACTTTATAATGATGATCCACTTATTATGAATGTCAACTATTATGATGTCAAAAGGACACAGAAGCCAATTTAAAAAGACGTCAAAGGAAATAATCTGTGCATCAAAAAAGAAAAATGGCTGCACTGGATTAAAACACTTCAATTGTGCTTAAAATCCAATAGTTCAAGCCAGGAATAGTAGTACACCTGCAGTACCAGTAACTCTGAAGGTTAAGGCAGGACAATCGCTTGAGCCCAGGAGTTCCAGGTTGTAGTGCACTATAATCACAACTGTAAACAAGTCACTGCACTCCAGCCTAGACAACATACTGAGACTCTATCTCCAAAATAATAATAGAATTCATTAATTCATAATGACACTTAGGAAAAATAACCTCTTGGTCAATGTAGGAAGATGCTAAGGAATAAACTTACCCATAAAACTTGCTGATAAGTCTCTACTATCACAAAGAAAGATAACCAGTATTATTTGTCTTCTGACATAATGAAGAGACACACACATTGTACCATCTAGAAAGTACTTACAGTAGAATAACAAAAAAATGTTTAGTCTTTGTCCCTGATTCTTCACCCCTCCCCTCCACTGCCATGGACCTCATCTGACTGAATGTGCCTAGTACTTAACAAAGAGCTCCTGAAACCCTTGGCATTTCCTAATAGGAGAGTGTCTTTTTTTTTTCTTTATTTCAATAGCTTTAGGAAGTAAAAATCGTTTTTGGAGGAATGCCTTTGTATGCGAATGAGATTTTGGTAAAATAAGGCCAAAACAGTTTCTGGATGGAGGATGATCACTACAAAAACCAACCACATGACTACAGGGAAATATTACGCAGTCATAAAGAAGGACAAACATGAACTTCACAGAAACTTGGATGGATTTAGAGTCTCTAATACTCAGTGATCCATCACAGAAACAAAGAACCGAGTACCACATGTTCTTACTCATAAGCAGACCTTGAACATTTACCATAATACTATAAGACAGGGATTGGCAGTAGTGGGACACTGTCTGGAAAGTGGGCACACAACATCAATAAGGGTACCTGATCTCAAACCAGGCAAAATGGGGACCAAAGGAAGGCCCACACTTGACCTGTACAATGACCACTGTATACCCAATAATGAATTGTACCTCACATCTTTAAAATAAAAAAAGAGAACTTTCAGCCCTATCATCTCTCACCTTCAGAGAATGGGGAGGAGCTAGAAATTGAGCTAAAGAGCCAATGGTCAATGATTTAATCAATTTTGCTTTATAATGAGGTTTCCATTTTTAAAACTTAGACTAATCAGATTGGAGGCGCTTCTGGCTGCTGGGAGGGTGGCATACCAGAGAGGGAACGGAAGCTCCTCCTACCCCAGTACCTTACCCTATGCATATCTTCCTTTATATGGTTGTTCCTGAGTTATATCCTTTATAATAAAGCTGTAAGTTCAGAACTTTCCAGAGTTCTGTAAGTGGTTCCAGTGAATTACAGAGCCTGAAGGAGGCCCAGGGGAACTCCCAAATTTACAGTGAGTGGACAGAAGTGTGAGTAGTCTAGGGACCCCATCTGTAGCTGGCATTGAAGTGGGAGCAGTCTTACAAGACTGAGTCCTTAATTTGTAGGGTCTATGCTAATTCCAGGTAGTGTCAGAATTGAACTGAATTAATGGACACCCAGTTTTATATCAGAGAATTAGAGAATTGGTGCTGGAACTGAGACAGGCATAGTTAACACATACTTTAGAAGTAGTTAGACAAGTTTTCTTGGCAGGTCTAATTCAGATAACTGAGAAACAGAGTAAGTGTTCAGATATCCTTCTTATTGGTAAATGACCTTCACCTGACCAACCAGGCATATCAGACCTGACCACTTTGCAGGTTGGAAGGTAGACAACCAGTACAGTAAATCACAGAAACAATAGGAAATTGCCCAAAACACAAACACATGATGTTCTAAGAAAAGCCCAAATCTAGTTAGGCAGTAAATTTCATTATTCAGAAGGTCCTTGTGACCTTAAAAGGTCAAAAGATGGTAACCAAAACTTGTAATCAGATACCTGCAGTCCTCTGCTCTTTGCTGGTGGAACAGTTTGGTTGATCATAATTGAAAGCTTCTTGTCAAAGGCAAGCACATGTCCTTTCCTTTAAGGTACCTGCCTTCTTTCTTAAATGTGTCTTCCTCTTTCTTTTAATTTTTTAATTTTTTTTTTTTTGGAGACGAGGTCTCACTATATTACCCCAGTTGGTCTCAAACTCCTGTACTCAAGCAATCCCCCCACCTCAGCCTCCCAAAATGCTGGGATTATAGGCATTAGCCACTGTGCCCAGCCCGTGTCTTCCTTTCTAATAAACTTTAAAACTTTACTCTGAATGTGCTCTGAAACCCTTTTCTGTAACTGAAGCCAACAAGCCATGGAGGAACTACACCCCACACTATTCCACATCAGAACAACACATTTGATATCAGGGAAAAAAGATACATTTAACAACTACACAATATTCTTGAAGGAAAAAAAATTTGAGCCTGACTCCAAGCAAACCTAGGTACCTAATTACCATAAAAGGAAATACACATTGAGATCAAAAAGGCTTCTGGGAACAAGAGGATGCAGGTTAAAGCAATTTAAGAGAAATATGAACCAAAATGTAATGTATGGGCTTAACTGGGACCCTGACTGAAGGGAAACCAACTGTAAAAAGGGCAATCAGGGGAAAAGGGCATCAGCAATATGGGAATTTAAACACTGCCCGTATACTAAATAATGTTAAGGAATTATTGTTTATTTTTAAGTATGGATAGTATGGTTATGATTTTTTTAAAGTCCTTTCCTACCAGTGACACAAACTGAAGAATATGAAATCTTATGAATGAGATTTGTTTTACAATAATCCCAGAAAAATAAATTTAGAAAAAAAGATTGGCATGTGTTATAACTGTAAGGATGGGTGATGGGTTCATAAGAATTAATTATTTAAGTCGCTCTCCTTTCAGAATGTTTGAAAAGTTCCACAGTTTAAAGGTTTTTAAAAGAACATAAAGGGAAATGTAAATGAGAAATTATTAAACCTTCAAACATCCAATAAACTCTAAAGACTGTATTAGTTTGGAGTGTAAGAAAAAATTTCATTTGCAAATAAAATATAAGCCAAAAAGAAAAGAATGGGGATGGGAAGGAATGAAAGGTAAAGGAAAGTGAAAAGAAAGCAAATATAAAAGAGCACACAAATACACAGATTTCCAAGTTTGATATACTTTACCTTAAACCACTGAACGTACCTGCAGCTCCTGGGCAATCTGTTCTACTTTCAACTCTAATGCCTTATAGCTTTCAAGAAGAGCATCCTTCTCTGTTTTAAGTTTTTCATTTTCTTCAATCAGTTTCTGGTCCTGCTTAATTTTTGCCAGGCTAACATTAGACCCCAAATTAAGGTCACCAACAGCCAAAATTTCCCTATTAAAACAAATTCACTCATTTAAAAAGAAAAAAAAACCTGTATAACTTTGACAGAGAACAAAATCCAAACTAAATTATCTTGGGCTTTTTATACCATAATATATCCTACAGTTAATTTTGGAAACTAAACCTTTACCTAGTTCAACATTTAAAAATAATTTAATGCAAAGAATATTTTATAACTGAAATCATACTTCAAAAACTATACCTCTGATTCTCAAAGAAAATATATTCCAACTTTCTCATAGCACTGTCAACTCCAGAAAACAAAGTAAAAAGCATTTCTGTACCAGTTTCTTCCAGTTCCTTTTTCCCATTACCGCCACCCTATTTGACAGTTTAGTTCCTAAAGTACTGAGGGAGATCTCATCAAACAGCTATATCACACAAGACATGGCATCATGGCTTGGATCGTGACACAGAAAAATATTCTGGTATACATAAATAACAAATCTGGCTTTCTGCTTCAAGTTGATAATTCAAAACTATCTAAAATGTGAATTCTTCTTGAAATAATCAAATTCCATCAGAAGTTTTTACAAGAAGAAAAGTGAGCATCTTTTTTGTTAAAAAAGGGAATTCCCTAAAACTCAAAAATATTCTTTAAAAAATAGAAAAAACTTCAAATCTTATTTGAAATTCTGGCCTTGACTGAATAATTCAGATTTAGGAGCAGATTTTTATTTTTGATAAATGAGTTTAAAAGAGTTGGCATGAAAAGTTGGTAGTAAACATGGACTCTAAAGGCATAAGCCTTAATTTCTATTCTATTCTCTCCCATGAATTAGCAATTAGTTAAAACTAAAAACTCCATCACATTCTTACTTTGGAAATGTCACAGGATTTCCTGCATCATTTTCATGCTTTGAGTCAGAAGCCAGTTTCCCACTTAAGCGTCCCTTTGATCTGCTGAAGGCTGACTGGTTTGATCTATGCCCCCACGAGGGAATGGGGTTTTTGAGGCTCCTGAAAGCAAGGTGACCAGGATCTGATTTTTTTCCCTCACAAATGTCAGTTCTGGAAGAGAGTTTGCATTTTTCTGCAAATCCTTTCTTAACCACCTCTTCCCCTATATCCACACTGCCATACTCAGCCTGAGCAATAACTGTTCCATCTTGACAGGTTGCCTTAATTCTCATTTTTATTTCCTTTTCAAAAATCAAGCTCCCCAAAAAGGTTCTGCCCTAAGAAAGATAGAAAAAAAGACATAAACCAGCTAGCTACACCAACATGTTTGTTACCATTTAGTTACTACCCATTTTTTCTAAGCATCATTTTCATTCTAAAAATCTCTATATAAATGATCTTACCTTGCTGTTGACTATATGCAAATATACTTCTGCATATATTTTACCATATTCCAATTACATACTTGGTAATATCTTCCTTTTCAGAAGTAGAGCTAATACTTACACCGGCGACCATATTTATAAATCTTAAAATGTATACTAATTAAATATCCTAGAATAATTTCTTTAAACCTAGCAGATTACATTGACTACTTTGGCCCTAGCCAAATATAATGGTGTCCTGAAAAGCAATAGTACATAAAAATGAATTTCTGGTATCTAGAAAAGGTGTTCAATTTCAGTAAAACTTTAAAGTAGTTTTAAAGTCAGAGTCAAGTATTCTGGTTTTAAAAAAAGATAAGAGCAGAAGAAAAAAAACAGAAATTCAAAGCACAAAATATCAACAATTTTTAAAAAAATTAACAAGCTACAATTATGAAATATGAGGTGTTATAAATTCCTATACTCAAAACTCTCTTCAATGACTTTTGTTTAAGGGGGCCACACCGTACAACTAGCATATGAGAAGGCATATGATAAATTAGATGCTTGCTAATTATTAAATACCCATCTACAGAACTGAGCACAGATGTACCTAGAACATATTTGGGATTGGAAGATATCTTGAGACTTGCTTTAGTAAGAACTTGTTTACTCCTTCAGAAAATTGTAACTCCTAAAATCATTTTGATCTGATCTAATTACTCTTCCCAAATTTCTCGATATTCCTGATTTTCACCCTATGCATAGTATAAGAGAAATTACTCATTTTTCAGAATATATAAAGCATAAATTTATATCACAAAATGGGTGGATACTGCTCAAATTTACTGGTTCATGTCTTCTGTGAAATCAGAACATAATTAATTCAATGAATCGCATCTCTCTTAGAACAAGAAGCTATATTTTTAGCTATAATCCCACAAGATAAATATGAAAAACAATATAGTTTATGCAAATAAGGCAAACCAAATAGGAAATCCTACCAATAATAACTGAAGAAACAAGGATGCAAAGACCAAACTAAAGGGTTTGGCATGGTGGTTCAAACATATAATCCCAGCACTTCAGGAGGCCAAGGCAGGAGAATTGCTTGAGCCCAGGAGTTCAAGACCAGCCTAGGCAAAGTGCGACTCGACTCAAAAAAAAAAAAGACCAAACTAAAAACGAGAAAATACAAGCTGGCACATATTTTTAAAAAGAAAGAGGGCTAGTAAAGGTCCAAGAAACTAAATAATATTGGTAAGAACTATTTTCTTTCTTTTCTTTTTTTGAGTTGGAGTCTCACTCCATCGCCCAGGCTAGAGTGCAGTGGCATGCTCACCACCACCCCAGCGTCGACCTGCTGGGCTCCAGCAATCCTTCAGCCTCAGCCTTCCAAGTAGCTAGAGCTACAGGGCTACCACACCCGGCTAATTTTTTAATTTATTGTAGAGATGAGGTGTCGTAAAGTTGCCCAGACTATTCTTGAACTCATGGGTTCAGGGAATCCCCTCACCTTGGTCTCTCAAAGTGCTGGGATTACAGGTTTGAGACACTGCACCTAGCCAAAAACTATTTTCTACTGCTTTTTTAACTACAGAGTAGTCTAGAGGGTAACAGTGAGACCTAAGTAGATTTCTTAACATTTTTTAGGCCATGGGGTCCTCTATCAATCTGGTTAAAATGTTGGACTCGTTTTCAGATTTCTTTTTTTCTTTGAGTTGGAGTCTCACTCTGTCGCCCAGATTGGAGCATAGTGGCATGCTCCTGGCCACTGCAACCTCAATCTGCTCAGGTGATCCTCCTGCCTCAGCCTTCCAAGTAGCCAGAACTACAGGCATGAGCTACTGCGCCTGGCTACTTTTTTATTTATTGTAGAGACGAGGTCTCTCCAAGTTGCCTGCGCAGGTCTTGAACCCGTAGGCTCAGGCAATCCACTCACCTCGGTTTCCCAAAGTGCTGAGATTACAGGCTGAGCCACCGAGCCCGGCCCAGAATGCTTTTAAGTACATAAAATATATAGAATTACACAGAAAAGTATTTCATTGTGATACAATTTAACCCCAGGTTAAGGAGAACCCCTGGTCCTAGAAGGATGCATGTGAAGAGGATTCAAACTACTTATGCTCAGAGATCACCAAATAGCACTACTAAAAAAAAAAAAAAATTGAGATGGGGGTCTTCCTATATTGCTTAGGCTAGCCTCAAACTCCTGGACTCAAGCAATCCTTCCACCTCAGACTCCCAAGTAGCTGGGATATGGGCACATGCCCCCGTACCTGGCTGAGAAAAATAATTTTTTTAATCCACAAGGCAAAAGTATTTTAGGTTAACAAAAACACAGGTTTTATAAATGTTTCAAAGCATAAAATACATATGTCAAGAAGCTTGAATTCACCAAAAATATCAGTAAAATAGCTAATAGTTCAGAAGGCATCGCCAATCAAATGGGATCAAGTAGGCAAAGCCAATATACTCAAAACGTAATTCATCAAAATATACCATGTTAGGATTTTAATCGATCAGACATAGTTTTCTGGTTAAACACTTTCAGGTGAAAACCCTTGGTTTCATTCCTTCATGTTGAAAGTCTACTTAAAATTCAAGAATAACTTCCACCCCCAGGAAGTATTTGAAAATTATTGGTGGCATATGTGGAATTATTACTATTTCAAGGAACTCTGTCTTTGGGCAACATATGAACTCAAATGGAAATAATCTACTTTCTACAAAAGTTCCCATTACCTAAAGCTGAAGGTCCATTACTCCTTGTATATAATTTTTTATACAGAAATCTACTTTTCAGACTTTTTTCTGAAGTCACATTCCTTTTAGTTTAGGTTACCCAATCACAATTACCACAAAGTTATTCAGCCAGATTCTCCTTGAATCATATAGAATCACAAAGACAGAACCCTGAACTCTAAATAAAATCTCAGTTCTCAATTCTAACAAAAAGAATGACAGGATAGATGATACATGGGTGTTTTAATATTATATTTTACCATAGACATAGATGCTATATATCCTTTTGCAAATATATACTTAGATATATACATGTACTTTTCAAACATATTTAGGTATTTAAAAGGTACAAAACTTGACCTTTTAAATAAATCTAGTCACTAATTTATAACATAGAGCTCTCAGTCATTAAAAAAATTAATGTTGGCCGGGATCAGTGGCTCAGCCTGTAATACCAGCACTTTGGAAGGCCAAGATCAGTGGACTGCCTGAGCCTGCAGGTTCGAGACCAGCCTGGGCAACTTGGCGAGACCTCGTCTTTACAACAAATCAAAACTTAGCCACGCATGGTAGTGCACGCCTGTAGTTCCAGCTACTTGGAAGGCTGAGGCAGAAGGATCGCTAGAGACCAGCAGGTCGACGTTGGGTGGCTATAAGCATGCCACTGCACTCCAACCTGGGCAACAGAGTGAGACTCCAACACACACACAAAAAAAATTAATGTCACTTTTATAAGATTTATTTTATGCTGTTTTCCAAACGGGTAAGCAGGTAAGCTTTATCCAGAAACAAGAAAGCATCATTTGTTTCCTACTTTATTCTACCCAATCTTGTCTATACATATTAGAAAACAGACTAAAAGGCCCTTAATATATTAAACTTAAATTCCAATCTCTAGCTATCATTCCCCTATTCTACATATAATTTTTTAAGTAAAGCATATAAAAGTAGTAATGTAATCTTGACTTGATCTTCAGCAATTTGTAACCACAATTCTGAGTATCAATTTCAACTGTGCTGTAGCATGGATGTGAAAAGTGTTGGTTAAAAAATTTGCTCAATGGAATTTCAGTGCCCAGAATACCTCCTGGAAGAGGGGGGGTTGTTTATTTTTGTTTTTACTGAATCCCTACTATGCATCAGTTTATCCATATGCTCAATACTTTAGAGGCTCACTAACACCTAGCAGGAGGGGAGATTAGCATAGTAAAAGGAATACTTGTCTCTCCCAAGACAGTCTTGTATCCACCAAACTCAACAGCCTGAGGGGGAGGAAAACATTACAACTTCACACGCTTTAATGCTAAAAGGTTAAAAACAGCTGCAGAGGATTGGATGGTGGCTATCAGCAAAGACTTCATATAGGTGATGACATTTGAGCCTTGAGCTGAGAATTAAAGACTAAACACAGGCTTTCTAAGCAGAGACATTCAAGAATAACGTTTTTTTCCCCCCCAGAAAACATTCAGCTTGCCAATTAGTTCAATTCTAAGCAATGATCTTTTTACTAAACTAAGCATCCAAATACAAATGTTTGTGTATAGTGTGGCAGAGAGGGGGCTGGTAGCAGTTAAAGGTATTTCCTTTTGACAGTCAAGTGGCAAGCTCTAAAGACCCGCCAGGCCGGTTTTGTTTGAAAAAGCCAAAGGGCCAAAGACTGACTGACGGCTCTCATGGAAATGCAAGAGTACCTAATTCACAACCTTACCCGACTGCTCTCCTTATCGGTTTACAGTCCCCACTCACCCTGCATTTTCTGGAGACCATTTGTTCTTTGAAAGATCTGATTTTGCTGAGCACAACCTTGTAAATTCCAAAGAAAATTTGTAATCGTTCAACACGACCCCCCTCCCTTACCTAAACAAAGGTATAAGATCCCTCTTCTCCCGTTCTGGGGGGGTTCAGCCTGGGAGCATTAGCCCACCGAGTCCACCAGCATAATAAAGTTGCCACTTCCTATAATAGTCTTGGTGTCACAACCTCTCTGTCTTCCCACTACATTATTCTGGTGCATTGGCCGGGAAAGGAGAGTTCAGAGATGGTGTGTTCCATCTCCTTTGTCATCGAGGTATAACCTCCAGGGCGACGGGAAGGGCAATCTTGCCTGGTGCACAACAGACCTTTTGATCCGTAGGAGGGAGGCCCCTCCCAGCACAGTGAGGCTCGGA